AGCAGGTGAAGAAGGCCCACACTCCCTGGTCTGCTCAGAGCAAAGGGTGCCTGGCAGGTACAGTGCAGTCCTTGGTGCCAAGCACTTGTTATAGGGTCAGAATGACATTGTGTGGCATTGAGTGAGCATCACCAAGTCTGCTCTGCAGGAAGCAGGAGGGTGACAAGATTGAACTGGGCATTTTCCAGGTGTGTTTATGAGCAGAGACTCCGCTTCTAGGACTATATCCTAAGAAACCTGAAACCCTCCTCAGAAAGGATATAAGCAGCCCTATGTTCATAGTGGCACAATTTACAACAGTTAAGACTTGGAAACAGCCTAAGTGCCCATCAGCAGATGAATGGATAAAAAATATGGTACATCTACACAATAGAATACTACACAGCTGTGAAAAATGAAACTCTTACTATCCATAACAGCAAGAATGGACGTGAAGGGTATTATGCTGAGCAAAATACGTCAGAGAAAGATAAGTATCACATGATCCCACTCATATATGGAGTCGAATGAACCCAATAAACTGATGAACAAAATAGACCCAGAGACATAGAAGCATGAACAGACTGTTGAACCTCAAAGGGAAGGCAAGGGAGGGTGGGTGGGAAGACATCAACCAATGAACTTGCATGCATATATGCATAACCCTTGGGGGGACGGGGACGGGAGCGGCTGGAAGAGGTTAATAGGAGAAAAGGGGGACCTATGTAATACTTTCAACAATAGAAATTAAGAGAAAAAAAAAAAGGGATGGTTAATGACTCCAGCCCTCAGGTTTCCCTGAAACCATTCTCCACATCCCTTGTGTCTGGAAGCAGAAGTCACAGGACAATTGTTGGTGACAAGCTGAGCTTAGGTGTCAGTGGATCTGAGACTCAATGGGACAGAATCGCAAACAAGAGATCCCTGTTTGCCTTGGAGGGGGGAGAGAAGAGAAGGCTGCTTCACTGGTCCCACTGAATGGAAGCAGGGCCTTCTGCGTGTAAAGCAGATGTGCCAACCGCTGCACTCACTACGGAACCACATACTCACGGTGCTTGAGTCAATACAGTGGGAAACGTTTATAATTATTTGACTCAAAGATAAATTTGGTAGGTGCTTGGGGTTTCCTGGTGCTAAAGTCCATTCCCCGTGCACCTCATTCACGGGTAAGGTTGAAATATCCTCCAATAGAATCATTGTGAACACACAAGAAAAAATTCACTTAAACCACATTCTTGACCCAATGAGCACTTCTGTGTCCTTCGCTCATTCCAGGATCATGTAAGGCTGCCCTTGCTCTTCTTGCCATCTGTCCTCTGCGCCTTGCTCACCACCTTCTCTTGAATCCCTTTTTCAAGGCCAGAGCTGACAGTGGTTCTTAACCTTCTGGCCCTTAAAGCACAGTTCCTCATGCTGTGACCCAACCATAAAATTATTTTCATTGCTACTTCATAACTGTCATGTTGCTACTGTTATGAATCGTAATGTAAATATCTGATATGCATAATGGTCTTAGGTGACCACTGTGAACGGGTCCTTCGACCGCCAAAGGAGTCGCGACCCACAGGTTGAGAACCGCCGGTAGCTCAGCAGACATAGTGGGCTAGAGAAGAGGGGAGGACCCTGTGTCCTATTTATATAGAACCTCACATGCAAATAAGGTGATAAACTAGAGCCCTGTGTCTGTTGGCTCCGGAGAGCAAGCTCAAAACCTGGCTCTGCCCAATCAGAGCGCCAGAATCCGAAACTTGCACGTTCACTGGTTTAGAAGAAGCTGAAACCTGAACCAATGACACACCTGCTTCTTCGCGCCACAAACGTTTATAAAAAGTGCCGCCCGCGCACTTTCGCTTTTGCAGCCCCTTGCATTGAAGTTTGTAGCCAGAATGTCCGGCCGCGGCAAGCAGGGCGGCAAGGCGCGCGCCAAGGCCAAGACGCGGTCCTCGCGGGCCGGGCTGCAGTTCCCCGTGGGCCGCGTGCACCGGCTGCTCCGCAAGGGCAACTACGCCGAGCGCGTCGGGGCGGGCGCGCCCGTGTACCTGGCGGCGGTGCTGGAGTACCTGACGGCCGAGATCCTGGAGCTGGCGGGCAACGCGGCGCGCGACAACAAGAAGACGCGCATCATCCCGCGCCACCTGCAGCTGGCCATCCGCAACGACGAGGAGCTCAACAAGCTGCTGGGCAAGGTGACCATCGCGCAGGGCGGCGTGCTGCCCAACATCCAGGCCGTGCTGCTGCCCAAGAAGACCGAGAGCCACCACAAGGCCAAGGGCAAGTGAGGATCCTGCGCTCCTTTGGCAACAACTAAACCAAAGGCTCTTTTCAGAGCCACCTACCGTTTCACTAAAGAGCTTGTTTGTGTTGTAGCAGAAGGCATGTGAAATGTGGACGTTTATTATAATTTGGCCGTTTGGCCGCTCAGTTATATAGAAACTGTCGGGGGGATGGGCAGGGGCAACAATGCTGGAAGGAAACTAACCCATACAGAACCGCGTCTAAGTTACAGTGCAGTAGCCACAGACCGAAGCAGTGCAGTGCCCAGCTGTTTCTCGAGGCCTCTGGGTGGCTCTGAAAAGAGCCTTTGGGTTTGGTGGCCTCGCAGGAGGCAAACATCCTACTTCTTTTTCGGAGCCGCCTTCTTAGTCTTCGCAGACTTGGGTTTGGCGCTCTTGGGCTTGGCAGGTTTGGCCTTGGGCGCCTTGGGCTTCACAGGCTTGGGCTTGGCCGGGCTCTTGGCGGCCTTCCTGGGCTTGGCGGCGGGCTTGGCCTTCTTGGGGCTCTTGGCCACCTTCTTGGCGCCGGTGGCCGCAGGTTTCTTCGGCTTCTTGGGGGTCTTCTTCCCGGTCTTCTTGGCGGCTGTCGCTTTCCTGGGCTTCTTGGGGGTGGAGCCCGCAGGCTTCCTAGGCTTGGCCGCGCCCGCCTTCTTGGCCTTGGGCTTGGCCTCCCCAGAGGCCGCCTTCTTGTTGAGCTTGAAGGAGCCCGAGGCGCCGGTGCCCTTGGTCTGCACCAGGGTGCCCTTGCTCACCAGGCTCTTGAGGCCCAACTTGATGCGGCTGTTGTTCTTGTCCACGTCGTAGCCCGCGGCCGCCAGCGCCTTCTTGAGCGCGGCCAGCGAGAGCCCGTTGCGCTCCTTGGAGGCGGCGACCGCCTTGGTGATGAGCTCGGACACCGGCGGCCCGGACGCCTTGCGCTTGGCGGCCCCGCCCGCCGGCTTCTTGGCCGCCTTCTTCTTGGCGGGGGACTTCTCCACCGGCGCCGGGGCGGCGGCCTCCGCGGGAGCAGTTTCCGACATGGCGCTGAGAGTCGCTGGGAGAGCAGACAAGACTCAAAACCAAAGAGGGAGGTTGGAGGCGGCGGGCTCGGGCCCGGACTTATATAAGCCGGTGCTGTGCTGTGATTGGTGGGGCGCCCAATCCGCCGCCCTTGGGCGGCCGCCTTTAACGGTTGGATTTACAAACTGTTTCTTAATCCCAAAATTCTGGTTAAATGTTCAAAACTGGGATACAGAATGTGACGCTTTGAAGCTCCAAGGGCGGAAAACAGCCTCCCGGCTCGCTTCCCCGTGTTTTTATGCATCACGTACAACGGATGAGGTTATTTTTTTAAGATCGCTACCATTTTGCATAGGAGTTCACCTGGTTTAGAGTATCGCGCTACTTGTTTGTATGTGGCAACAAATTTCTACTAAGTAACAAGGGAGCCTTTTTAAAAAGTCTTGTCCCTCAGTTTGTCCTTTGATTTTTACAAGAGGAAAGACACTAGGTTCCTTGGTCTGGATAGAAACTTTGTTTCTAACTGTAGCAAGGAACACAGGTCTCAGGGCACCTGGTCACCAGGTAGCCCTTACTCTGAAACCCGATTCTGCGTCCTAGGAGTTTCCATGAGCCTACGTCTTTAGAGGCAGGTATTTTGCAACTTGGAAAAGCTCAGTTGCACCAGGAAAAAGATAAATTACTTTGGCTTCAGAATCAAAAGACATAGATTCAAATTCAAACTTGAATTTGGTATGTTTTTGATTGAGATGTGTTCTTTCTTTAGTCCCTACCCAAATCTATTAAAATAATGATAAAAAAATGTTTATCCAGATAATGTTTTAGAAAAAACTCTGGAACTTGCCCAAAGAAATTTATTCAAGGGCTTCAATAGTTTCAAAAGCACAAATGAGACTTTGTCCATTTTCAAGGTGCTTTCTCAATGCTCTCAAACTCCTGTCCAAATTGCAGCTCTTCTGTTAGCAGACAGGAGACATACGTGTGGATATTATTCTGTTTAAGCAAACATAGACCTGTATTTCATAAAAGTAATTGGCAACTGACTATGAGAAAGGTGGACGGGGGATTTCCTAAACTCAGACGAATTCAGGAAAACATTACCACGCACGGGAACTGAGGCAACGAGCAGGAGGTGGGCATGGAGGGTGAAGTTTGCTGTTTACTTGGAGGCATGTAGGATGGGGAATGACCATCCTACATGGATGATAAGGGAGATGAAATGATGACTGTGACCTCTAACACAATAAACAGTACTTAGTGTTCCCTGTGCAACACTGTGGCAAAATAGCCAGCACACTTCCGTCAGCATCCCTGGAGGTGGAGCCATATAGCCGCCGATGGCCATATCCGGCCAGTGTCTTGTTTTTGTAAGGCCCTCAAGCTAAAAGTGGTGTTTGGATTTTTATGTTAGAAAAAAATATTGACAATGACCACATTTGGCCACCAAAATCTAAAATATCTACTCTCTGGCCCTTTTGTTGTGCTTTGAACTCATCCACATAGACATGGATCATGGAATACAGTTGCAAGCCTGGCTCTTTCAGAACAATGGGAATTTTTTTAAAAATCTTAACAAGAAAATGTTCTAGCCAAACACTTTTCACTGTTTTGATCACAAAACTCTTAGATCTGTGGCAGGGGGGTGTGTGTGTGTAAAAGCCTCTATGCTTCAGGGGCAGGAGAGAGGTACAACAAGAACAGCTAATGTACAATGAACATTTACTAAGTGCCAGGCGCTCATCTAAGGATGCTCTACAGATTTTCATTCATTTGCCACATTTTATAACTCCACAGGCTGAGAGAGGAGAGAGAGAGGAAAGAGGAGGATGGGTAACTTGTCAAAGGTTGTATATCTAATAATTGGTGGCTCTGAGGTTTGAACATAGACCACCTGGTTCTATAATGATGGGGAAATCTGAGACGGTGTGGAGAGAGGACGCTCTCTGAAGCTCAGAACAGGCAGCACCAGGTGTCCCTACACCTGACAGTCCAGGAGCTCCAAGCTCTGCAGGAAGGGGCTTCGGCCCGATGGGTCAGGATAGTTTCTGAAGCATTCAGAGACTCTTCCAGTTTCCAGGAAGCTGATAGTTGGGATGTAAGGCGCTCTGGAAGGGCAAATACAAGTCCAAAAATAGGAAGGGAAGGCCCCCATGCTGCCCTGGCTGAAGACACTGGAGAACAATTGCTTCCATATAACCTACCACCTCCTGGGGGGAAGATGCCCACCCCACAAGGCAAGCAGCAAAATGAAAAGATAGACATATCTGAAGAGCACACTGGAGACTTTAAAAAGCTGGAAAATTGTACAAAATAAAGAGCCGAGTTCTGTTAAAAAAAAAAAAAAAAAAAACACCCACAAGCCAGAAAATCATGAGTGCACACAAGAAAGAGCTTAAAAAATCCCACCTCAGATATAGCCTAGTGTGGCCCTATCTAAAAAAAGGAAAAAAAAATCAGACAAGGACATCTTTAAAACACTTACCAAAGGCCTAGAAAAGTGTCAGCCATCTTGCGAATTCATTTTACAAAGGACAGCCTACAGCCTGCAAGCCATCAGCCCACTGGTCACATGCACAAAGCTCAACAGGACATTGAAACAAAAACCAGCCACATTTAGAACACTTGGAGCGATACTAGTTACTCCTTAAGCCATAAGTGAAAGGGACGAACCACTGAAGGACAGGGGCCAAAAATCTTTGAAAAAATTAAAAGCGCATCAAAATTACAAAAACCTCAGCAAGCTGAACTAAAGTTCTACAAGTTTCTTATAGCCAATTTATAACATGGCTGAGCTTTTGCAAAAAGTGCTTTGCCACAAAATGCTTCTCATGGCTGAGATGGAGCAGGAATGTGCCAGACACGGAAACGAGGCTGGGGTTGGGTTTACGGGGCACAGCCAGATGCTGGACGCCAGGACATCCTTCGCGTGCACTACGCGTGTCACACGGGAAATGCGCTCAGAAACCTTCCCACAGTGAACGTTCCCACAGGCTGCCAGGCAGTCTCTAGGCGCCACAGCTCTTCACTGATGAGAGATGAGGGGCTCTGAAAAGAGCCTTTGGGTTTCGGCGCAAGTGGGTGGGACGGAGCTCACGCCCGCTCCCCGCGGATGCGGCGCGCGAGCTGGATGTCCTTGGGCATGATGGTGACGCGCTTGGCGTGGATGGCGCACAGGTTGGTGTCCTCGAACAGCCCCACCAGGTAGGCCTCGCACGCCTCCTGCAGCGCCATGACGGCCGAGCTCTGGAAGCGCAGGTCGGTCTTGAAGTCCTGCGCGATCTCGCGCACCAGGCGCTGGAAGGGCAGCTTGCGGATCAGCAGCTCCGTGGACTTCTGGTAGCGGCGGATCTCGCGCAGGGCCACGGTGCCGGGCCGGTAGCGGTGCGGCTTCTTCACGCCGCCCGTGGCCGGCGCGCTCTTGCGGGCGGCCTTGGTGGCCAGCTGCTTGCGGGGCGCCTTCCCGCCCGTGGACTTGCGCGCCGTCTGCTTGGTACGAGCCATGCTGAGGATCTTACCAGTGAAGGAGAGCCGGCCGCCCTGTATTTATAGCGACTCTCGCGCTCCGATTGGACGGTACCTGCTCCTCCCATTGCCTCCCCGCGGGTTTAGTCCTTAGTTTAGGAAACGTTTTCCCGCCTGTTCGCTGTCTGTGATGATGTAAAAGAAAATATCTTAGTGACCTTTAAAAAGCCTCTAGGATGCATTAAAAACTCTTAAGAAAATGTGGTCTTGAGAATCTGAAAGTTCCTTGTACTGGTTTAAATAAAAGATGTCCTAATGGGATTCTTGTCAAAACTGAGCATGAAAGGGAAATCATTTAAACGGGGGAACTGTGGTTTCAACTTCTCGTCACTGTGTCGCCCGTCTTCAACCTGAGCGGGATTAGTAGTCGCTCCAAGAGCTTGAGAGCACAAGGGCCGGTCAGCTTTTCCGTAAAGGTGGTGATGTTTACCGTCCTGGACACTAGCTTTCACTGAAGGTATCAGGACCGGCGGTGTGGGTTCGAGTCACCGAGACTGCCACAGCCTCGGGGATGGGCACGCTGGGCATGGGTACCCAAATGCACTTAAACTGTTTGGGGCAAGTTAAACCATCCAAGTCCCTCAGCGGTTAATAATGCGGATTGCACCTTTACCAGTTAAAAATGCAAATTGAACATTTACCGGTTAATAATGCAGATTTTGTAATCAAAGAGAACATGATCATTTCAAGAGAAACATCAAAAGTGCTTTGTTCAATGTAATGTCCATCGCTAGCTCCACATTTCCCTCACCTGTAGGTAATTTGTGGAGACAGTCCCAATAGAACTTTTCTTGTTTTGAGGCAAACCATTCAGAGACCCAATTGTCCACTTCTTTGTATGTGTTGAAGTGCTGCTCAGGAAGTCCATGTGCCATCGCTTTTTTTTGCACAAAATTCAACATTTTTAAAGGTAAAAATATCTATGATGTTTACACCTTCAGAAAATTTGACACATGAAGTTTTGAAGCTTGTTGTCAACAAAATAGCATACATATCAAATCGCATATATATATCAACATATGTGTGACTCCATGGAGTGAAAAAACCCGCATTGTTAGCCGGTACACCTACAGCTGTTAAGCAGATTTTGGGGTGTCCCGAAGGGCCTTTCCGTCATGAAACGGCGATTTGGAGAACGCCGCACCGGAGTGCCCCCGAGGCGCAGACCGCGTCCCTAGCGGAGCCTGTGGCCTCGGGAGGGAGCCCCTCCTTCTCAGGTGCAGAGCGAGGCCTCGGGGCTCAAGAGAGGGTTGGGCCCCGCGTCACAGCGCCGACACTCTGTCCAGTGAATGTGACTCGCTGGCGGCTCAGGGAGGGGCCCGGACCCGAGGCTCGCGTTTGGGGAGTGAGGACACAGCCCGACGCCTGGGGCCAGGGCGGAGGACGGGGAGAGGAGACCACCTCTACCGATCATTTCTGAAATTCGCGCAGGAAAGACTAGAAACTAACCACCAGCATTTTCTTGGCAATGTCCCTTTTCTTGCTTTAAGGTGTTTTTTGTGACTTTTGCTTTCGCACTAATGTCTGCGTCCACGGGTATGCACATAATCCTCTAGTTAATCCCCTCCCCTCCCCCCTGCGAGCAATGTCCGTGTAACCCTCCGGTTTCGTGTGGGCGGCGGCAGCAGCCATGGGGGCTCCTTTGCACGAACACGTGGAAGCTTCTTGCCGCCGTCCTGCCCCCGAGATAAGGAACCTAGTGGCACCTGCAGGGCACCGCGTCCCTGGAAACTGCCTCCGGCCGGTGCTGCGTCTTACAGGGGAGAGGGGAGGGGTTACGGGTCCGAGGAAGCGAGGCGCACCCAGAGCCTTAGGTTCTGTTCTGGGAGCTGTGCCAGCGGCCGGACCCATTCCGGCCACAAAGCACGACAGTGCGCAGCTCTTCCGAGAGGAGGTGGGCGGCCCTGAAAAGGGCCTTTGGTTTTGCTGAAGCCAGTCGGTGGGGTCTCAGCCGCCGAAGCCGTAGAGGGTGCGGCCCTGGCGCTTGAGCGCGTAGACCACGTCCATGGCCGTGACCGTCTTGCGCTTGGCGTGCTCCGTGTAGGTGACGGCGTCGCGGATCACGTTCTCCAGGAAGACCTTGAGCACCCCGCGCGTCTCCTCGTAGATGAGCCCGGAGATGCGCTTGACGCCGCCGCGCCGCGCCAGGCGCCGGATGGCGGGCTTGGTGATGCCCTGGATGTTGTCGCGCAGCACCTTGCGGTGGCGCTTGGCGCCGCCCTTGCCCAGGCCCTTCCCGCCTTTGCCGCGACCGGACATGCCTGCAGTTGGAAAGAAGGCAATACCAGCGTCCTCGCGGGCTGTGCTTATATACTTCTGCCGCGGACCTGTTTGGGAGCAAGCTCCGCCCCGCCACGCCCCGCGCTCTTTTTCCGGAGAATGGAAAGGGCGGCGCTTCATCAAACCTCCTGGTTTAGAAAAAACCACAGCTGACATCATATGCAAGGATAGAAAGCTGAAAGCTTTGTCTTCAATACCAGTAACAAGACAAGGATGTCCATTTCACCCTCTTTTATTCAACATAGTATATCAAACAAGAAATAGAAGGCATCCACATAGGAAAGTAAGAAGTAAAATTCATTATTCGCACATGACATAATACTATATACAGACCCCTAATGTTTCCACCAAAAATACTTTTAGAACTAATAAATGAACTCAGTAACGCGTCAGAACTCAGAATTCAGAAATAAGTTGCATTTTTATACACCAATAACACTACCAGAAAGAAATTAAAACCACAATGAGGTCACCTGGCGCCTGCCAGAGTGGATAGTATCAATAAATCACCAAAGAGCAAATGTGGGGGAAGGGAGCCCTGTGCACGGTTAGTGGGATTGCAAATTGGTGCAGCCACTATGGGAAAAGGTATGGAGGTTCCTCAAAAAATTAAAAATAGAACCAGCAGATAACCCAGCAATCCCACTTCTGAGTATTTATACAAAGAAATGCAAACCAATAATCAAAAAGACATGTGCATCCTTTTATGTTCGTCGCAGCACTGTTTACAATTGCCAAATTATTGAACCAACATCAAAGTCCATCCGTAGACGAGTGGATAAAGATGAGATGTATACATTACCGCTGATCCATAAAAAGGAATGCAAGCTCGTCTTTTGCGACAAATGGATGGACCTAGAGGAAATTATGTTAAGTGAAATAAGTCAGATAGAGAAAGACAAATTCTTCAAAGATAAATGTTTTAAAACCTCATTAAACACGCCTTGCCCTGGCCAGTGTTGCTCAGTGGATAGAGCGTCGGCCTGTGACCTGAAAGGTCTCAGGTTCAATACCCGTCAAGGGCACACGCTCAGGTTGTGGTCTCGATCCCCAGTGAGGGGTTTGCAGGAGGCAGCCGATCAATGATTCTCTCTCATCATGGATGTTTCTCTCTCCCTCTTCCTTCCTCTCTGAAATCAATAAAAATATATTTTTTTTAAAAAACCTCCTCCGTCCAACTGCTCTTCTAACAGTTCTGTGCTTGCCCCTCCCGACGACCATGCCTTTGTCTGGGTCTGGCTTTGCTGTTGTTTGGGGGTGGGTTTGTTTGCCTGTTGTTGTCTTTATTTTGTCACCTCGGCATCCACGGCCCGCATGCCTATGGCTGCTGGGTCTGAGTGACCCTTCTCAAGAGCAGTGAGTGCCGTCCTCTGGCCACTGGGGAAGCCTGGTGTGCAAATGCTTTCTATGTCATCTGGACTGAGTCAGTGGCTGCGACAGTCATGGCCCTGATCACAGGGAACTCCCCCGTGCGCTCCTCACTTCTCACCGTTGCTTCTCTGTCCTTTGCCTCACCTGCTGCACATCCTGTCCAGCGCCGCTGTCAGGTGGGGGTCGGGGTGACTTCATCTCGGTTAAAACACTCATTTTCTAAAGTTGTTTGAGGAAGGTCTGCTTTTTCTCTTGAGAGTCGATTAGCAGGCCCTGGGGGGTCTAGAAACACATCCCCCGAGGATGAGGGAGGACGGGCTTGTTTCTGGAAACAGGAGGAAATTTGCCAGGGCTCCTCTATCTGGTGAAGGTAACACACTCTGAAAGGATCTGTAACTTAATCGCAGTAACAGTGCTTTGCTCTGGAAATGATATTAACATTCACATCTATGTTTCTCAAAGGTGTACTTCTCTCTGTTAAATTAGAGACTTGTTCATTCTCTTCTTCCACCTTTGTGGAAGAGACACGGAGACAGGCTCTGCAGATTTCTTACCTTAAAAAAAGTTTAAGAATTTCATTTTATTTAAAGAAAGTATTATTCTGATGCTTTCTTTTTGTCTTTCTCAGTAAATAATAATGCTGATTGACATGAGTTACCCAATAAATTATTGTTGAATAATTCTGATAAATAACTTTTTTTCCTCACACAATAAGAAACATTCTTTTCCGAGAGAAATTTGGGAGACTTTTAATTTCCCCTTTAATCAGATGAAAACCTGAGCTATACTGTCCTTTGCAATGTTGAGGGTTGCGTATTGACCCACACTGGTCTAACTGACACTTTTGTAATGTTTAGTACAAGTGGAGTCGATCCTTTTCAATATGGTTATATCTCAACTTCTTATGCCACATGTTTATTTCCTTGACACCTGACTTTGTTTTGTTTGTTTGGGTTGAGGCTTTAGAATTGGCTGAAGGTTGTGCTGTATCTCTTTTATTTTTCTCTTGCTCTGCATTTAACATTATTTGATTTAGTAGTGATGAGTCCTATTTTAATCCTCAGTTATTCTACCCCGAAAACACATACTCATTCATACGTAAGCACACACACAGAAGCCCTTTGGGGTGGTTTCTACTCCATGAACTTATGCCCTCAGATCTCCCGCCCGTTCTACAGTGTCCAGGTCAGAATCTTAACAATGAGGCATGATTGCATGGAGCGTCCCTTCTTCTTGCTCACACCTGAGAGCCATCACCATCTGTTCTCATCCTTACCCTTGCTTAAGCTTCTGCTGCCTCCATTGCTAAAATATCAATTAAACAAAGTTGAAGACCCAAATTCCACTGTCCCCCAAACTCAGGCCTCATTCTCCCCGCATCTTACACACCCTTTCCTGAGGCTCACTGTACCATGTTCTTGTCTGCTTATGGCTTTAAAACTGACTTCCAGAGGTACCCCCTCCTTTCTCCTGAAACTCTCTCTGGACCCAGAAGTGTCCTCCAATTTATAAAGCTTTTCATACCTCGTTTTACATAAAAACCTACCATGTTTCGTACATATGACCGCTGGTGGTCTTCATGTTCCTCTTAAGCTTCTGTTAAAATTCACTGGTTTTCATGATTGAAATATGCCAAAGAATACCTCGCAGAAGCTCTGATTTTCTTCCCTGTGCCTCCCCTTCCTAGTATCTTCAGGGTTGGATGTTGACAGGACAAGAATGAGGGTGAAGAGAGTCCTGGTGTAGGGCTCTCCTGCTGTGTCACCTCCCTGGCTCGAGAATAGGGACAGGGGTGGCGAACATAGTGCCTACACTTCTGTCCTTTGAAATCAGACTCTCTGCTATAGACAAAGTTGGTGTCTCATCAACATTCCTAGGTTGAAACCTAATCTCTAATGTGCTGATGTTTGCAGGTGGGGCCTTGGGGAGTTGCTTAGGTCATAAACTCAGAGCCCTCTTGTCTGGGTTTGAGCCCCTGTCAGAGGACCCCGCCACCCATCACCTCTTCCATCTCAGGGGACAAATGGAGAAGACGGCTGTGCCTGGACCAGGAAGCGGCTCTCGCCAGACAGTAAGTCCGACGGGGCCTTGTTCTTGGACTTGTCCACGTCCAGAACTGTGAGGATTAAAATTCTGCTGTTTAAGCCACAGGGTCTGTGGAATTCTGCCACAGCAGCCTGAACGGACTCAGCCGCTGGTGTTTTGCAAACCGTGTGTAAAAAGTACTCAGATTTAGTACCTTTGGCTTTGGTGTTTATTACAGGTAATTTGGAAGTAAATGGTTGGAGATCATAGCACAGGTGTCCAGGTATGAACTGAATAACAGTTCAGGTCTTGTCTTTGCCATGTACTCCATTCTTTTCTTCTTTCCTTTCTTTTTCTTTCTTTCTTTCTTTCTTTCTTTCTTTCTTTCTTTCTTTCTTTCTTTCTTTCCTTTTCCTTTTAAAGTACATTTATTAAAGCTGGGGACAGTGAAACAAAGGAAAGGTTTGTAGAAGCAGCAGGGGAGAGCCAAGGTGGTAGTCTGCTTTGGTTCCATAAAAACCTTATAAGAAAGAAGTGAGCCAAGGTGGGGCTGCTTTTAACTTACTGGAAAGTAAGAAGAAGAAAAGATCTCTGTTCTCTATCTCCCTGACCAGAGGAATTTAAGCTTTTTATTCTGCAATTAGGGAGGAGAGATAGAAACCATTTGTTCTCAAGTGTCCTCAGTTAGGGAAGATAAGTCTTTCAATCCACTAGCTGTAAGTTGTTTAAATTGTTTGGCCTTGCTTATCTCATCTATTTCCCCATTCCACTTGCCCAGGAATTTTCCCACCTTTTTTTAAAAAAAATAAATCTTTATTGTTGAAAGTATTGCATATGTCTCCTCCCCCCCACCCCCACCACCCTATGTACTTGTTTCTTGACCTTAGAAACAAGTATTTTATTTAGAGTATTTTATTTATTTATTCATTGCCGTAAATTATCTATACCTTTTTGCTATCACAAACAACATTCTGATGAATATTCTTATGATTCTGTAGGAGAATTTCCTTGGGGCACAGGCCTGGGTACACCCAGTTTTACTAAATTAGATGGTTCTTTAAATGTCTGTATAGACCACCATCAGTAAACCACCACATAAAAGTAAGTTTCTGCACCTCTCATGCTCGGCAAACCTAACTTCTGATTTTGATAATCTGCTGGGTGTTATGCATTGTTGTTTTAATTTGCATTATCTGATTACAGGTGATGTTTAAAAGTTATTCCTATAATTGCTAGCCACTCAGCTGTGTCCATTTTTAAAATAAGATTCTTTTCCTTCAAAGTGAATAATAAACCACTATCCTCAAAGTTTCTAACACAGAACTGTCATTCCTCCAAACCCTCTTTTAGGCCACTTAGGCAAGTGAAAACCAGAATAACCCTAATTCAACTTTGTTTTCCTACAGCCACTGGAGGCTGAATGCTATCTTCTCCTTTCCTTCCCAGACTTGTTGAAAGGAACTTGCATGGCCTTATCCTCCAGTAGTTGAGGGCCTTTGGAAGAGAAACTTCTAGAGCTAGAGAGGGAGCATAAATTGCCTGTCTAGACCCTGAGAGGTATTTTCAGGTTCGACTCCCAGACCTAATTAGCATAGTTGTGACTATCAGACGTGGGTAAGGGAGGTGCCAAGATCTATGCGCTGAACCCCTTGTTACAGGATAGGCTTAATTCCTATTTATTTATTCATTGCCTTTAATTATCTATACCTTTTTGCTATCACAAACAACATTCTGATGAATATTCTTATGATTCTGTAGAGAATCAGAGAAGCTCCGCGGAAGGGACGCGACCCCGGGGCGGGCAGCGTTGCTTTCCTATTAACAACCCACTAGGTCCCCCTAGGCTAGGAGGTGGGCGTTAGCGAAGACGTGTGCCATTAAGATGCAAAACCACTCGAACTAGAGACAGAGGAGTGGTTTCATCGCCCTGCGGGCCACTAACTCTATTTGCATTTAAATAGTCACTTTAGCTCTTTCCTCGCGGATAACAAGGGTCCAAGCGGTGACTTACCTTCGCGGACGCATAGTTGCCTTTGAAAGTGCTGGTGTTTAAAGCAACAGTTGGCTAAGCAACTTAGTTTCCCTAAATAGCTACTGTACTGTAAACACTGAACGTGAGGCCTTGCCAATCTTGACACCCAATTGGCTGAGGAAAATGATACCCATAGTTCTGGAGGGGACGCCATTTCCATAAACTGTGCGCCGGGCTTGCGTTTTTAACGCGTAAACTAGGAGTGCAACAGCCACTGTCAGTGAGGACGGAAGTGGCTCTGAAAAGAGCCTTTGGGTTCCAGGTTGCCGCCCGCCAAGAGCTCAGGCCCTCTCGCCGCGGATGCGGCGCGCGAGCTGGATGTCCTTGGGCATGATGGTGACGCGCTTGGCGTGGATGGCGCACAGGTTGGTGTCCTCGAACAGCCCCACCAGGTAGGCCTCGCACGCCTCCTGCAGCGCCATGACGGCCGAGCTCTGGAAGCGCAGGTCGGTCTTGAAGTCCTGCGCGATCTCGCGCACCAGGCGCTGGAAGGGCAGCTTGCGGATCAGCAGCTCCGTGGACTTCTGGTAGCGGCGGATCTCGCGCAGGGCCACGGTGCCGGGCCGGTAGCGGTGCGGCTTCTTCACGCCGCCCGTGGCCGGCGCGCTCTTGCGGGCGGCCTTGGTGGCCAGCTGCTTGCGGGGCGCCTTCCCGCCCGTGGACTTGCGCGCCGTCTGCTTGGTCCGAGCCATTCCCAACACAAACAAGCAGAGAACTGCTGAAGGAATGGCAGCGCGGGCTCGCAACCGGTATATATAAGGCAAGTGCCGCTGTGATTGGAGGAGGCGCCTGCCCATCAAGGCCCGCAGTGACGTGATTGGAAGCCGCGTCCGCTTTTTGATCCCCGAGCCTCCGGGCGTTTGGATCAGAATTTACCTTCTTCCTCCCAGCCACCCTTCAGCAGAGGCTGTTTCCTACGCTTTCTCGTCGCTCGGTCTGTACGCATTTTCTTTACAATGTTCTCTGTCTTTGCTCCGCAGAATTTCATGTAAATATCTTGTTCGCGGAATAAAAATTTTAAATTTTGACGCCGGAAACTGGCTTCCCTTTGATCTTTTTGAAAAAAGCGCGCGCTACGTGGGATTGGCCAAGTGACTTTTCAGTCTCCTGCAGGTTTAGGAAAGAGGATTTCCTGTCGGTTTCTTCATTGCTCTATTTAAACTCAGAGACTTTAAAATGTTCCGTAGGCCTTTCTACATGTCTGTTGAACTCCATTTCACATTTGATATTCTAGCTCGATTGACATTGGCCTTTCCCTACCACGTTCATAGGCAGCATCCCACTACGTTTAACCATTTGAAGTGAGACTAGTGTAAAAGGGGGTTAAGAAAACACGTCCTCAAACGAGTAAGTGGAGAGAAAGAGGACGGTGCCAGTCACGCTGGGCCCCGCGCAGAGAAGCTCCGCGGAAGGGACGCGACCCGGGGCGGGCAGCGTTGCTTTCCTATTAACCCACTAGGTCCCCCTAGGCTAGGAGGTGGGCGTTAGCGAAGACGTGTGCCATTAAGATGCAAAACCACACGAACAAGAGACAGGAGTGGTTTCATCGCCCTGCGGGCCACTAACTCTATTTGCATTTAGTCACCTTCCACCCCGCGTGTTCCGGTCGTGTTTTGTCCAGGTTAGAGCCCGAGGGCCTGCCGCTTTCATGCGTTAATTACCGGGCGCAGAGTCTCTATCCCTTAGTGACCACACTGTCGCTAGCTTTGTGTTCACTGGACTCCTTTCCCGTCTACAGGGTGTTTACAGTGACGCCTCCTGGTGGATGGAAGGGAACATTCTCAAGTAGCTGCTCCTACATGGCAACGGCAAGCTCTTTAGTGAAAGTGTGTGTGGCTCTGAAAAGAGCCTTTGGTTTTGGATGTGGCGACGTGCTCCTCACTTGCCCTTGGCCTTGTGGTGGCTCTCGGTCTTCTTGGGCAGCAGCACGGCCTGGATGTTGGGCAGCACGCCGCCCTGCGCGATGGTCACCTTGCCCAGCAGCTTGTTGAGCTCCTCGTCGTTGCGGATGGCCAGCTGCAGGTGGCGCGGGATGATGCGCGTCTTCTTGTTGTCGCGCGCCGCGTTGCCCGCCAGCTCCAGGATCTCGGCCGTCAGGTACTCCAGCACCGCCGCCAGGTACACGGGCGCGCCCGCCCCGACGCGCTCGGCGTAGTTGCCCTTGCGGAGCAGCCGGTGCACGCGGCCCACGGGGAACTGCAGCCCGGCCCGCGAGGACCGCGTCTTGGCCTTGGCGCGCGCCTTGCCGCCCTGCTTGCCGCGTCCCGACATGGTGGACAGGAAATCCGCTCAGACCTTGATCTGAGCTGAGTCGCCCGCAGCTGCCCTCTTTATAGTCGCGCCGCGGCGCGAAATGTGAGTCTGTGCCATTGGCGGCAAGTTACAGCCCTTTCTGTTCAACCAATGGGATCCTGGTTCTGAAACACACTCGTTGTCAGTGGACAGCAGCCCGGTGACGTTTCCGGGACTCACCACCAGTAGGACACGCCTTTCCTCCCCGCCGCCTGGAAGGAGCCTGAACCGGAGGACACTCGCAGCCTCACACTCGCTCTTCCCGTTGTTGCCCGGCTTCTTCGGCGGTTCCTCCCGACCATGCCCGAGCCCGCCAAGTCGGCGCCCGCCCCGAAGAAGGGCTCCAAGAAGGCGGTGACCAAGGCGCAGAAGAAGGACGGCAAGAAGCGCAAGCGCAGCCGCAAGGAGAGCTACTCGGTGTACGTGTACAAGGTGCTCAAGCAGGTGCACCCCGACACCGGCATCTCGTCCAAGGCCATGGGCATCATGAACTCGTTCGTCAACGACATCTTCGAGCGCATCGCGGGCGAGGCGTCGCGCCTGGCGCATTACAACAAGCGCTCGACCATCACGTCCCGCGAGATCCAGACGGCCGTGCGCCTGCTGCTGCCCGGCGAGCTGGCCAAGCACGCCGTGTCCGAGGGCACCAAGGCCGTCACCAAGTACACCAGCTCCAAGTAGACGCGCGAGCATGCGGCCTGACTCCTGTCCTAAATGCTCTTTTCAGAGCCACTCACCTGCCAAGACAAGCCTGCTTTGCTTTGCCTATCATTTGTAGGGATGGGTATGGGGAGCATTATCTTGGGAGGACATCTTAAAAAGTAATCAGCAGGCTTGAGAAAAACTAGAGTTGAGCATTCGTGCCCCCCCCCCCCCACACACACACACACACTCTCTTGTGCAGGATCCCGTGCTGTCCCTCCCACCGCAATGGTTTTATATGTAGCCAGACCAAGTGGTTATTGCCCTCTGGGGACAGATGACCAGGTCCCAGGTATGTTAGGTGCATAGAGATTGCTTCCCAATTCCACCAAGCACAGAAACTGCGGCCAGCAACATTTGCTGCACTTAACACTGGAGGAAAAGTGCCATCACAACTCATCCCAAGGGAAAGAAGTTTAGTCACAGTTAAGCCTCACAGATGGGGAAGAAGCTTTGTGACAATGAAGTACCCCGCGGGATCAGCAGCCAGTGAGGGTAGGTTTGTGGGGATCATGAAAAGGGACCTGCATAATCCAGGAGCCAAACCAAAGGCTGCGTGCGGCTTCTTTACACACAGCTCTCCCCTCTTCACTTTTCTCTGCCATGAGACACACCCAGGATCTTGGGCTGTAGAAAACGAGCAGGACAAAGGGAAGCCGTCAGTTCTTTCCAGAATCAATGACAGTGTTGGAGTAAGTGTGGGCAGCTGAGGAACCCCCAGTTATGCTGGAAAGTTCTCTTCACTGAGTTCACGCTTCCTGCTGGTTTTAGACTCCATTCTGCCTCTTCGGATGAAATGGTATCCCTATGGCTTAGCTGAGATTTTGAAATGCCCACAGCTCCAAAATACTTGGATTTTCGAAGGCAGAAGCCTCCCCTTCACCCCCCCCCTTCCCGCCCCCACCTACACTGATGGTTCCAGTGAGGATAATCTAATTATCCAAGAGTGAAGCAGGACCCAGGGACTAACGCGGGTGACCACCCTCTACAGTGCTGCCTAAGCTGGCCGCTGGGCATGCGACTCGGGCAGTTGCACAGGGTCCTCCTGTTCTCAGAGGAGCCTCGTCTTTGTTTAATGCTCTGCTGTCATTACCTTAAAATCATCAATAATTTTTTAACAAGAAACTCCACACTTTTGTTTTGCATGGAACATCACCAACTATGTAACCGGTCCTCACATTGCCTTCAGCATTCTATTGTCAGAAAAAGGAAAAATATCTTTCCCATATTCTGCATTCTATCCCTTCTTCGAGGTATGTTAAGTGCAGAGAGATTGCTTCTCAATTCCACTGCCAGGGTTTCTATTGTAAAACTAAAGTACAGGAAGAAATGAAGAAATAATTTTTAAAAAAGGTCACTGGACCATAGCAAGAGGTCATGGATAAGCATGATAAGAGCTATTCATGCCTGGAAACCAAACAGGATGCAGTGCTGATGTAACTTCTACATAAAGGAGACTATTAGCCTAAAAAGAAGGGAAGAAAGAAAGAAGAAAGAAAGAAAGAAAGAGAGAGAGAAAGAAAGAGAAAGAAAGAAAGAATGAATGAAGACAAGCTTTATTGACTTCCTGGGAGGCTAACTTACCCTCCTCAACCTCGCAGAATCCAATGATCACTCACCAGATGGTGGAAATAAGGCAGAATCGAACCTGGGACCCTTCAGTCACAGCTCTATCCACTGAGCCAAACTGGCTAGGCTGCACCCCTATGTTTATTTCAGTGTTATTTACAGGAGCCAAGCTATAGAAGCAATCAAGTCCCCATCAATAGACAGTGGATAAAAAAGTTGTGGTACAGCCCTAACTGGTTTGGCTCAGTGGATAGATCATGGGCCTGTGTAGAGCATGATCCTGCGGACTGAAAGCTCCCAGGTTTGGTTCTAGTCAAGGGCATGTACCTTGGTTGCTGGCACATTTCCAGTGGGAGGTGTGCAGGAGGCAGCTGATCAATGTTTCTCTCTCATTGATGTTTCTAACTCTCTATCCCTCTCCTGGCTTTCTGTAAAAAATCAATAAAATTTATTTTTTTAAAAAGCTGTGGTACATACAATGGAATATTACTCAATCATAATAAAGAATGAACTCAACATTTGTGACAGCATGGATGGACCTAGAGGGTATTAGGCTAAATGAAATAGGCCAGACAGAGAAAGACAAAGACCATATGATTTTACTTTATATGTGAAATCTAAAGGACAATATAAACAAACAAAATAGAAACAGACTCATAGATGCAGATAACAGACTGATGCTTGCCACAGGGGAGGGAGGAAGGGGGCTGGGTGAAAAAAGTGAAGGGATTAAGAAGTACAAATTGGTGCCGAAGCCAGTTTGGCTCAGTGGATAGAGCGTCGGCCTGCGGACTGAAAGGTCCCAGGTTCGATTCCGGTCAAGGGCATGTACCTGGGTTGCAGGCACATCCCCAGTAGGAGATGTGCAGGAGGCAGCTGATCGATGATTCTCTCTCATCATCGATGTTTCTAACTCTCTATCCCTCTCCCTTCCTCTCTATAAAAAATCAATAAAAAATATATTAAAAAAAAAAAAGAAGTACAAATTGGTAATTACAAAATAGTCATGGGGATGTGAAGTACAACATCCTACCTAATAATAGAGAAACATGATAATTAACCATAACTTTTCCCATTGGCTAATCAGCAAGATATGCAAATTAACTGCCAGCCAAGATGGCAGCCGGCAGTCAGGCAGCTGAAGTGAACATGAGCCTTGCTTGCTCCAGTGATGGAGGAAGCCAAGGTTCCCCGCCTG